GAGACCCTGTCTCAAAAAGGCCAAAAGTTAAGGTAACGACAGATGCAGGTGGCTTGGCATCAGGGACAGACTCTGCAGAGGTGACAGTTAAGTTGAAATCCAAAGAGTGAGAAGATCTTAGCAGTGATGACCCCCAGGTATGGGGCTGAATCACACGAGACCCAGTGGAGAGCGCTGGAAACGAGGGTGGAGCAGTGGCCGTTTACAATTCCCTATGGAAATTCAGCCGACATACGAAATGAACTTAGATTTTTTTTTTAAAAAGTGAGTCCTCTGCTTCTTTGAAAATTAATATAGGGCTGGGGATTTAGCTCAGTGGCACAAGTGCCTGCCTGGCAAGCGCAACATCTTGAGTTTGATTCCCAGTACAAAAAAAAAAAAAAAAAAAATTAATACAAAGCCAAGGGCCGTGCCACAGGTCTATGATGCTAGCATTCGGAAGTGTGAGGCAGGAGAATCGGAATGCAAAGACAGCCTCACCTATACAATGAGTTCAAGGCCAGCCTGGACTATACCATCAAAACCAGTCTCCAAAGCCAAACCAACGAATGTATTTAAACGTGATGGAAAGATATTAATGAGGGGATATCATACTTACATCCACCTCCTGAAACCAGAGAACCATCTGTGGTGAGAATCAGGATATGAAGGACTGGGGGTTCAGAGAAGGGACTTAGGGTGTTTATTCTGAGGTAGAGGAAAAGCCTTTGGGTTGCTTTTGTGATACAGGGCCTTCACACTGAGCTATATGCCCAGCCTTTTTTTAGTTTTTATTTTGAGACAGTCTTGCTAAGTTGCCAGGCTGGACTCAAACTTGTGAACTTGTGATCCTCCTACCTCAGCCAAGTAGAGTGCTAGGATTACAGATATGCCCCAAACCACCGGCTCTTTGGGGGTTTTAAACAGAAAAATGACACCATGTAAATCACAACTTGAAAGAGTCTCTAAACAAATTTATTAAGAGGACAAGAGCGAAAGCAAGACAAGTTTGAAGGCTACTGTACCAGTCAAGTTGCAGTGTTAGGGAGTCAGAATCAGGTGCCATTGAAATGGGGAGACATTAATAAACTAAAAGTAGACTTTAAATTAGCTAGGTATGGTGGTACGCACCTGTAATCCCAGCACTCAAGAGGCTGAGGCAGGAGGATCACCATGAATTCAAGGCCAGCCTAAACTACATAGCAAGACCCTGTCTCTAAAAACTAAACAAATAAGTAAGACATGGTGGTGCACACTTATAATCCCAGCACTTTGAAAGGCTGAGGCAAGAGGATCCCAAATCGAAATCCAGCACAGGCAATCTAAAGAGTGATTTTTGTCTATAAAAAAAAAAAAAAAAAAGATGCTTTAGACACACAGATGTGTTTCCTGTTTTCTTTGTTTCTCTTTTATTTCTACACATGGAACATTACATTCAGTGCTCAGTCTTAAAACCCTCAAAAGTTTAACTTCCCTACCCATAACCATAACCACATTACAAACATAGAAAAGCAAAATGCCATAAAATGGTGAAAAATTAGGGAAGAATTGAGACAGGGGTAAAGAAAAAAAAACTGTTTAAGGAAGAAATAGGAGAGCTGAGTGTGGCGGTGCACACCTGTAATCCCAGCACTCAGGAGGCTGAGGCAGGAGGATTGCCATAAATTTGAGGCCAGCCCAGGCTACAAAGTGAGTTCAAGACCAGCCTGAACTACATAGTGAGACCGTCTCAAAGAGATGAAAGAAAAGAGAGAGAAAGGAAAGACAAGAAAGAGAGGGGAGGGGAGGAAAGGGGAGGAGAGGAAGGGAGTAGCTAGGTATAGTGTACATGTCTATAATTCCAGATCCTCAGGAGGCTGAGGCAGGAGGATCACAAGTTCAAGGCCAGCCTGTGCAATTTAGCAAGGTTTTGTCTCAACATAAAACTTAAAGGGCAACAAGGCACACATAGTTCAATGAGCTCAGTTCAGCTCCAGCCCCAAATAAAAATAAAATAAAGTGACTGCATAGAGCAGAGTGCTGTGCTATGATGATTCTAGTTCTAAAATTGTAAGACAAGAAGAAATGAAAACAACTAACTTCAAAAACAAACTAGCATCTGTATCTGCACAAAGGAAAGCAGAGTATCTCTACTCGTCTCCCCTCTGGTGGCTACACATCCAAACGTACTTCAGCCGTTGCACAGTTTTCGTTTTTCAGTACTCAGGGTTAAACACAAGAGCTTCACAATGAGCTACATCTCAATCCTTTTTTATTTGTATTATTTTGTTTTTGAGACTAAAACCAAGTTGCCAGGTTGGGCGTGGTGGCGCACGCCTGTAATCCCAGCACTCAGGAGGCTGAGGCAGGAGGATTGTTTCGAGTTCAAGACCAGCCTGGGCTACAAAGTGAGCTCAAGGACAGCCTCAACTGCATAGCGAGACTCTGTCTCAAAAAGATTGACTAAATAAATAAATAAATAAATAAAACCAAGTTCCCCAGGGTGAGCTTGAATTTGTAATCTCTCTGCCATGACGGACGTGAGCTACCACCCTCAGCTCCAAGTTTGTTGTTTGTAAAGCCATGAAGAGAACGGCCATTTATCATTCCATTTTGAAATCCTACGTACACAAGAAATAATGCCAAATTTTTAAAAAGAAAATAGCCCAATCCAAGACATGAGTCCTCTCTACCATCTGACAATTTAATCCTGGTGGCAATATATTAATGAGGGGATGTGATGCTGGTATTTCCTTGTCCTGCACAGAATCAACTACACTGAAATCCCACCTGTCCAGTCTGCTCCTGATTTGAGTAACAGATGCATAAACAAGAATTGTTCTGCCTTGTTTTCCTTGCTTGTGCGTGTGTGCACTTGTGTGTGTGTGTGCACGCGTGTGCGCTGCTGACAGCTAAAGTCTGTCCTACTTCTAAGTTTTATATCCTTTCACAAACTGCTTCCTCTTCAAAATAGACCTGCAACAGAAAATGTCTTCTGCTCCTGTTTCCCTTTCAAGAAATGAAACTTCAAAACAAGGAAAAGATAGTATGACTTGCAAATGTGCTCACCAGTTCAGCCAACCACCTCAAAATTCTTTCTAGGACCAGGATGTGACAGAGACAGAACCTCCCAACAACTGACCTACGGACCCAGACCTCAAATCCTTTGGGAAAAGACATCAGACATCAATAAAGACATACTGGAAGGCAGGAAAGGTTGTGCAAGCCTGTAATCCCAGCACTTCTGGCAGCTGAGGCAGGAGGATCACAAATTCAAGCTCAGGATGGACAATATAAGACTTAGTAAAATTCTGTCTCAAAAAAAAAAAAAAAAAAAAAGTTTTTAAAGGGCTGAGGTCAGGAATATAGCTCAGCGGCACAAGACCGTGCCTGGCAAGTGCGAGGTCCTGAGTTTGATTCCCGGAACAAAGAAAGGAAAGAAAGGAAGGAAGGAGAGAGCTGACGTTGTAGCCCAGTGAAGGCTCTGGGTTCAGGCCCCAGTACAGGGCCAGGGCACGCCTGAGTATAACACACTACTCACCCCTGTACGTTGTGTCCCTTGCCTATCCCCGGCTCTGAGGCATGTTCCTTTCTATCTCCAGACAGCCTCAGCAGGGCTGCTCCCTCTTCATTCCCCATATTTTGTAACCAGCAGCTCTGGATTCAGCCATGGTGGCTCACAGCTGGATGTGACTGGACCTCTACAGAGGGACACACGGGAAAAGGATGCTGCCCACCTCTATACCATGGCTTGGCATTCTCCGTAAATGTTTTATCCTGAGACCACTTAATTTAGTATCATCTCTGAAAAACAGCTGTTTCCAGACAGGACCTGTGCTTAATAAACCATCTGTGGGACTGGCACAGTGGTGTACTCCTGTAATCCCTGCACTCAGGAGGCTGAGGCAGGAGGATATCCATGAGATTAAAGATAGGCTAGGCTACACAGTGAGAGACCCTGTATCAAAAAACCACAAATTAATTAATTAATTAAATCATTACAGAGAGGGAGATCTCTGCAACTCTCTTGGGTTATGAGTTCTCTGAGATTGGAGGTTGGAATGGCAGTAGTAAAAATCTGAGCTAGGGGTGCTGGCGCAGGC